TTTTTATGCAATTGAGTTGTAAGAGTTCTTTATGAATTTTAAATATTAACCCCTTAAATATAGTTAGCAAATATTTTTTCCCAGTATATAGATCACCTTTTCATTTTATTGATGGCTTCCTTTCCTGTGCTTTTCTTTTTCTTATCATTTACCCATTGAAGAACCTGGGCTTTTGACCTGTAGAGTTTCCCACAGGCTGGCTTCTGCTGTTGCACCCTCGTATCAGGCTATCAAAGGCACAAAATGTCTGCTTGTTTCTCTTCCCGAGTTAGCAGCTGTTGGTGCTTAATAACTATACCTATTAATTCATTGGGCCTAGCAAAATGGGGATATTTTAATTCTATCATTTGTCTTTCTGTTACTAATCAGGATACATTCATAAGAGACATTCCCTTTATCTACTCAAGTGGGACAACTCACATAGGAAAGGTGAAATAATGCTTGATTCTTCCTTTTACTTAACTAGTTTTCAAGGAAATGAAGTAGTTCCCTTATATCCTCTGAAGATGACAAATTCTTTTTCTAATATCACAATGAACTCATGGATTTAAATGTTTGATGGACTTCAAGCTACTGTAGTTATTATTCAATGATGAGGATTGAATACTGTAGGCAATTGTAACACAATAGTAGGTATTTGTGTATCTAAACATAGAAAAGCTATAATAAAAATGTGGTATTAAATTTTATGGAATTCAGATATCTTGGAGGATTGAAAAAAAACTTACAGGACCACCATTGTATATGTGATTAATTGTTACTCTAATGTCATTATGCAGCATATGAATTCTTTCATATATGGCTAGTGGTAGCCTCTTCAGGTTAGTTCCTGAGTCCTTTTAACATGACCTTCATCATTCCTTGTGGCATTGTTTCATTGTACAAAGCTTAACTTTGTTGCTGGCAGACTGACTGCTTTCAGGGGTTTGTCACATGTCTTCCACTTTCCAGAAGCATGTAAGCCTGGTGGTACAGAACTATATGTAGCCTCTGGTCTTACCTACTTAGCAAAGAGCTCCAAGAGCACCTCACTTCTGCTTTTGCATAATCACAACTCTTAGGTAGAGGTTTAAAAACTAAGGAAGGGCACACTGGCGATTTTGCACGATTTAGCATCAGAACTATGCTACACTCTATTCAAGTTACTGTGTGACCGTTCTTTTTCCTTTCCATCCTCATGCCTGCCTTCCAGCCCTGCTGAACTACTTACACAAAGTGTTGAGCTTTTCCACCTTAATGCCTTTGTACACGCTGCTTCCTCCTGCCCCACTTCAGCCTCAGCTTAGTCACCACTTCTTCCTGGAAGCCTCCCCAGACAACTGATCTGAAGGAGATGTGTCTTTTGTGTGTTTCCATAGCATCGTGGTTTTGCCTTATCATAGCACTTATCTCACTGACTGCAATTGTCTGCTTATCCATCCGCTCACTCCCTTGTTACCCATGAGACTGTGAGTGGCAGGGCCTGTGGCTTGCTCACTTCATCTTCCCCGGTGTCTGCACAGTGTCCAGCATATTAGTAGGCTATCAACAGGTAATTGTTGAATGAATGGATGAAGCCCAAACTTTTTCATGTCACTCTCCCCATTGCATTCCCACCACTCTTGGTTCATTCTGCTGCTAGACCGCTCACTACCTTGAGTTGAAAACTACCCATATCATACTTCCACCCGTCTCCCTATCCCAGCTAGAGAGCGAGGTCTTTGAGGGACCAGCTCTAATCCCCTTTTCTATCTTCATTGTCAAGCATGATGCATAGTGCAGAGTCGGCACTCAGTAAATAAACTCTTGGTGTTACTTCTCTTCCAACATCGTTATTAATAGATAAGAAATCTATTGTCTTCATAACACTAAGAGCAGTTAATGTGAAACTTGTTTCTGTGCTCAGTTTGACTTCCTCTTTTAGAATCATTTTAGGGAAGTGCAACAAAGTTCCTCTTTACATTTCCCCCACCAAAGTGGCCTTTAGAAAGTTTGGAGCACCCCACGCCCCTCCCCATGAAAGCTTTCCTCAGCAGGCACACATGGCATTCTCTCATCCCCTGAGCCCCTTCCCTGGGCTCACCCCATCTCAGAGAACACTAGGTCTAGGCCTTATGTTCCTGTTTGCTCAGTTCTTGCTCCAAACCCCACAGCAAGACTCGAGAGCTCCTTCTCCTATGTGTAGTGACTCCACTCCCATCCAATGCCATGTTTTTGCAACAGGGATTTATTGAATCAACTTTTCTCTCCCTCTTGCGTCACCCCCACGAGCATATAAACATGCTGTTATTTCTCCTGTCTTAAAACTATGGACTTAATCACACCACCTTTTTTGTCTCCTGAGTTTTGTCTCCTTGTTTGACTCATGGCCAGACCTCTTCTCAAAGCTTTCTACTGTCTGTAAAAGCAGGAGCAAGCCATGGTTCACCTGCCCCAACCTGACATAGAGTGATTGCTCTCCTGCTTGCTGCCCTTTGCCACAGTCCTGGAAAGGCTTTTTATTCTGTGGCATAATTGGAGGTCAGTGCTTATTTGGATTCTCTGCCATCTCAGATTCATGTTCTCTGAGCAGGGAGGGAGCTGAGAATACTCCAAATAGTGTCTTTTCCTTTTTTCCTGGCCTCTTGGTCAAAGCTGGTGGGCTTAAAAAGTATCAGGCATAAATGAAACTAGAGATACAAAAGACTTCCTGTCCCAGGGGTTGGTGTACCTCCTGGCAAAACCCCACACTTCCTGCTGTCACACAGGCTACCGCATGGGAGAGAAAACCACAGAACTATAAATCTCTCCCATGCAACATTTAGTGTCTCCAATGGAAGAGAACCCTGCGATCAGCCTATCATTCTTCTCTGTGCTCAATTCCCTACCTCAGAAAGTAAGGATACACTATCCATGCAGGCTGGCCTGCATGGCCCTTTGATGGACAAAAGGCACCTAAATATAAGAAGACAAGGAACTCAAACATTTCCTTTTCCCTGGCTCCAGGAGACGGCAAGAAAGTTTACAGATGCAGGGACTCCTTAGGGCTTTGGTCAATTGCAAATACCTATTTCCCCAGGCCAGAAATCTGCACCCCTTCGTTGTACTGAACCAAGATGGTACTGTCTACATCAAATATTCTAGATCAGTGGTGAATGGGGAGCCAAGGAGCCCTAGGTCATCCTCAGTAGTTCTCAGTGGCACAAAAAGCAACCTGTCATATCTTGGCACCGGTTTCTGTGGAATATCGTTCGCTTTTCTTTTCTGAGCATGGTCTGAGCTTTACCTGCTCATTTGACCTCCAGACTTGGCTCTTTCCAAGATTCCTATTCCATTAATGAAAGTTCCTTTTAGTTTTTACAGTGTTTCAAAGCAGGAGCACTGATAGTTTTAGGCCAGAGAATCTTGCCATGCCCCACCCCCCACCCCATCTCTAGCCTTTGTAACAAGCAAAACTCATATATTTTCAGATGCTCCTGAGAGGAATTATACCATCCCTGGTTGAGAAATACTTAAGGGGTAAATGCTTAAGAGTCTCCCATGTTAAAAAAAAATCCCTTGACCCCAGAGCTTTCCCCCTTTACAGTCAGATGTTTCTGAAGAGCTGGCTACACTTCCTCTTTCTACCTTTTTTTTTTTT